AGTTTTGGGACAAAAATTTTTAGTTTTTCATATTACCCCAACATTTCGCTTTCCGATACTGAAAACCGCACCTTTTTAGCTGCTTCTTAGGAAAAGTTATCAAAGAAATGGCCGTGCTTCTTCTTTTTTGAAATGGATAGTAGTTGGAATGCACGTCCATATATAACTGGTACGAATTTAACAACATTTCCGGTTAAACACATAGTTATAAGACAATTACGGGATTTTAATTCAAGTATACATCAATCCAATTACATTAAAACAACAACAGATCTTCAAGATGGTCAAATGGATGAAAGACGTTGGGCTGATATTGGTTATAGTTTTTTCATATGTGGTGATAATAATGATGCCCAACAAGTTTATAGAGGTAGAGGATGGAAATATGTTGGTGCACATTGTCTTGGTTACAATTTTAAATCATTAGGTAAATATAAAGTCTTTTTTTCAACTTATGAGTCTTATTTTTTGTCAATTTGATCTTGTTATAGCCTTGTTAGACTCAGATGAATTCTGATGTATCTGGATATAAGGATTTTATTGCTGAAGTGTTCTATTACCTTTCAACTTAGCTTTTCAAGATTTTAAATCAGGTTCTTTTGTTTTCTGTTGTGTCAGTCCTCACTGTTCCTTCTTTTTTTTGCTTTTGCTATTCATTTCTCATAACTACAAAGAATGTTGACTCAGTTCTTGTTGATTCAACATTCTTCCTTCATCGATTATATATATAGTGCTTTTTCGTACACATCGAGGATAGTTTTGACGTTTTGTGTGATTTTATTCTTTCGAATAAAATCTGTACAGGTTAGCATATTTGGTGCTCCTCACGTAGACGCAAGCTGAGTTTCCTGACTCATGGAAAAAAAGAAGTGGTGACAAAACAAAATGAAAAAAAGAAAAATACCAGAAAAAAGAAAACAAACAAGAAACTAAACCAGGCGTTCATAAACCGGTATTACATTATTGACATGTGTCACCAAATTTTTGGTTCTCCTGTCAAATAATATGGGAGCAGCTGAATTGCATGTTTGGAGTAGAGTTTCGTCAGATCCACAAGAGTTCGCTGATGTCCGATAGCCATCGATCAACAGTTTGCGGGATAGGGCAGAAAATTGCGGCGGCGCGTACTCTAGCGGCTTGATCAACAATGATTGTATCACCGAGCTTGCCGGCCGGTCGTGTTGAGCAGTTGGTATTTCCAGGAGTTCTATTGTGCTTGTGTTGAAAGAAAATAACACGCCGGTTAGTTTTCTAATGCCACAATGAAACGAAACAGACCGGCCAGTTTTCTATATGCTAGCCTGCAATAACATTGCGTCTACGTGCTTCATGATTAATGCTACAATAAGGTAGAAACATGCCGGCTAGTGTACCAATATACCAGCCTGTACAGATTTTATTCGAACGAATAAAATCACGCAAAACGTCAAAACAAAAAAACTGCGCTCGGTGTGTACGAACAAACACTATATATACATTAAGAAAGAATGTTGACTCAACAAGAATTGAGTCAATATTCTTTGTAGTCATAAGAAATGAATATCAAAAGCCGAAAAGGGTGGAACACTGACGACTGACATAACATTTTCTTAAAAGGTATTGGTATTATTCGTAATTATACTAATATAAAATGTTTGAATGCATTTAAATCATTAATTCAATGTGGCATTACACAAAATGACATTGTAAAAAATTTTACACTGGTTGGAGATTTAGAATCAATAGATATTTACGAATATTATTTGAAATATTTTAAAAATAATACCGATCTTTAATACAGCAATCAAGCCGACAGCACACAGGTTTTTTGTGATTAATCCAGTAGCGACCGTTTGTCAATTTCAAAAGTTTACTTTTGCAGCCGCAATTGTAAAGAATTTTAGCACGAAAAACTTTTTAAAATAAAAATAGGGTAAATTATATATTTAATTCAGAAAAAGTCAAATAAAGAATCAACCCATACTTGGGTTAAGGAAGCACATTGTCAGGTAATGATGGAATCCCCATCAATTTCATTCATTATCAAGCTTATGCCAGTTAGCTCGCGACATCAATGATGATACCCTAAAGTCATTTAATTCATTTCATATAATTTCATCTACTGTATTGCGATGAGCTATACTTAAATCACAAGCTGAATTATCCATTGCTCTTTGTACTAAGCAAACGGCAACTCATCCGTTTGTTAGATTTAATTCGTAATACAACGCAGGCAAATCAATTAATGTCTGCTCTGTTATCCAATTATGTGGTAATGCCAGAATGGAAACTTGGAGAGCTTGTAGCATTGATTTCCATTCAGTCGGTTAAGTACTCATTGGAAGAGTGCAATGGGCGTCTAACATGAAAAAGTTAGTCTAGGTTTTAAAATTGAATTTTGAAATTATAAATTTTAACTTTTTTAAGATTTAAGTAACTCACCTCAGGTAGGTGCTAGAGAACTCGTTCAAACGGCATTTGATAGAGAATTTAAAACTGTGCAAACGTAGGGGTTTAACAACGTTCCCATATTACATGATTGTGGTTTTTCAGCGGATCTTCAAAAACCCTCTTCTTAATTTTACTTTGGTTAGAATACGTTGACTAGGTACTGAGTCAAACTCTTCTTTTGTTTTTTTTCTCATGTAAAGTAGTGTAGCAAGTAGAGTAAGTAGTAGTGTAGTAAGTAGAGTAAGTAGTAGTGTAGAGTGATATTTTGACATATGCTTTTACGATGATCAGAATACTGATCAACATCTCCATTTATACAGTCAAGCGTATACGTTTGCGACATACGCTTTATATCTCAAGCACAAAATGACTTCAAAAGGTAAAATTTGATATTTATCTGTAATTTTATATGGAGAATCAAACTATTGTCCATCCATCCAAAAAAAGAATAACTCATAGCCATTTTTCTGATAACTCAAAACGAAAAGAGTTAGAGAGCACTTGTTTTCAAATATAGAAAGAGCACTTTATAAATCAACGTTTTACAAGCGGAAAGCTTTTCAAGAAGTTTTTCAAAAACCGATTTTTTAAGAGATCTCTAGAAAACTCGTGCATAGCGAAAAAATTTTAAATACAAGACTATTGGTTTTTTTACATCAGTAGATATAAGTAAGTACCCTCTACAGAACCGGATCTAAGCAACATCTTCATTTGCCATGGTTAGGTAGCTAAAGGCATTTTCACTCCAGCGCTAACAACACTAGTCGAACACTAACAACTGGGGCATGCAACGGTTATAACCGGCCGTTAACCGCCGGTTAATAATCGGTCCCTTTTTCAACAAAAAGCTTTGTATCTCATCCACTAACCATCGTGAGAAAGCCTGCAACATCTTATTTGGTAGAGCAAACATTTCTGCACAAAACTGCTGAATCGAAAAATTTTTGAAAAGTTTCTCCAATTTTTAAAACTACTCCTCCCGAGAGCTCCGATAAAATAACCGTTGCATGCTTACTAACAATACGAGCAGTTTTAAATCTTACTCTTTTTTTTTGATGAGTCAATGTGCAGTATTTTCTGTGAAAAAATGATCTTTCTTCGAGAGCACTGTAGCCGCAGAAACATGAAGTACAGTTGGACTGCCTTGGTTTATGATTGTTCTCCTTATTGTTTTTATATTCATTATTGTTGATTTGCCTAATGTTCTTGTATGTTACTCTGGTAATACTAACCATCCGAATATCTCCTTTTTAGCTCACTTTTAACAAATATTGATCATACGATATCGAAGAAGGTAGATTGGACATATGAAATGTATGAATAAATATTTACTAGCAATCTGTCGAAGCATGCTGTGACATTACAAACGGTCGTGTACAGATAAACTTACGTAAATAATTGTTATGAAAATGTGTTGAAGAGCTATGTTCTAATTTGGATTCACCAGTTGTTGAGTCCTTATGCACACGTATCAAATATGAGACGATTGTATGCTAATTGCGTCAATCGATTTCAAATTTTTCTGATAAATAATATTTTTCTGAAATGTTCTTGTTGATTTACACATACAGAATCCTACTAGAGATATAGGGAACAACGACACTTTACACGAATTATATTTACTAAATAAAATTATTGACATATATATAAGATGTCGGCAAATCAAAAATCAAGCAAGGCTTTGTTTTTGTCTATTGGATAGAGCAGAAATATTTGAGGAGGTTAAGAGAATGTTAGCTTTAATATTTTAAAAAATATTTTTGTGAGAGAAAATTTTTTAAAATATTTAAATTATGTAAATCTTGAAAAATCGTTAAAAGCTTTCAGAAACAAGCAAATTTTCAGTATTCTCGTTCGCCTGGTTTCTAAAATAATTTTTGTTTGAGTTCCCATGCAAAACTGCGTATAGAAAACTAAGTTAGAGAGATTTATAACATCATATTTGCTTGTTTTTGAAAGTTTAACGATTTTTTAAAATTTACATAGTTTAAATAATTTAAAATTTTACTCGGTGAAATTAAATCTCGTACAAACTTACCAACAATATTTAAAAACGAATCGATATATACCTTTAAAAAAAATACGGTGGATTTTCATGTGCTTTATCTACACTATACTGTTCATAAATTACCGATCGAGTCTGCAAATACATCGAACAATAATTCGCCATATTTGATTGATCCAAAAAATGTTTTAAATGTTTCAATTAATGCTTTTTCTTCAGCATTTCACAGATATTTGTAACAACGATAGCCTCGAAAATGAACATTGGTTTGAAAAGTCGAGAATAAAACGGCAAAATTATAAATGAATTACTCAATTCATAACAGACTTTTCTGCTGACAGATGTGAGAGAAGATAAACAGTGGTTTATATGATGAAGTTGTTTTTCTTATTGATATACCGTTGATTTGTCAGCTGGTTTGAGATTTGAATTTATTGCGCCAGCACCTTTAGACCTAAACAAACGTTAAAGGCAGAGACAAATACAATGGTTTTGCTTATCCTTGTCTTCAGCAAAAAGATGATCCTCATGTGTTATCCACAGATCTTGAACTACAGAATTATCCTTTACGAAAAACCTTTGCGACTACCTAGTGATATAGTATTAAGTGTAGCAATGTCACACTTTTATATACGGAAGAAAAGCGTAGCATCCTCCCAAGTTTTACAAAACTGTTACGTAACCACCTAACAAACAATGTGCTTTACGGTTTTTCTGATTGTTTCTTTTCTATTACTCCCGTCGTTCTTTCATGTTTTTTCATATATTCTGTGTTTTTTGTTTCTCTCTATTTTTGCTGCTTTGGTACATACTTATCAATTCTTTACTTTCCATCATAATATCTTTCGGTGTCTACTACAGGTACCATTATTGAACTTTGTTCTACAACGACACATACGAACAAGTTCGACAAAAATTAACTGATCTGAATAAATCGAATGAAAACCTTAAAATTATCTTGATCTATTAATTACAAATAATAAAGAAAACTTGATAATTGAACTTTATCATAAGCCGGTGGCATAGCCGTACCTGTAGTCGTTTACTTCAACACGTCTTGTTCATATGAAGAAAGATGTCATCTATACCCAGATCTGGATGATTCGGGCGCTGTGTTTTCATGTCAGGTTCCGGTGTCTGTTCATAATAAGTCAAAGCCTTTGAATAGTCACCCATGTCATTGTAAACTAGTCCTATATTATTGTATGTCGTAGCCACATCGGGATGATTCGGGCCCAGTGTTTTCAACCCAAATTCCAGTGTCTGTTCATAGTAAGTCAAAGCCTTTGAATAGTCACCCATGTCTTTGTAAACCGTTCCAATATTATTGTGAATTGTTGCGGTACAGGGATCTTCTGGAGAAGTCTCATTTAACGGCACCAGATAGTATTGCTTTACTTCAATATATTTACCCATTTTCTGCAGCAGACGCCCTAAACTGTCCAACTTGCTTTCACGCCTAACTTCTTGTCTTACCTGATTAGTCAGTGTCTTTAACTCTTTATCTTCTTCACCAGTCAGAGCAAGTTTGAGGTTCCAAATGTTTGTGAAGTCTTGGTTTTACACGGATTTGATTCGAAATACGGTACCGATCGAGAAAAGGATCTCATTTTCTGTTTTCACGGCGCTTAATTCTTCAATGGCTGCGAATGAACTAATACATTTGTCAACCTGAATATCCATTTCGAACAAAACCGATATGACACCATTGTGATTCATCGATTGTTGGGCAAACTGAACGGCAACAGCTCTGTTTGTACTTGTCGATAAGAAATTATTCATCGATACGAACGCGCCTTGTTTCATCTCCTCAAACTCTTCAATTGTTATGACCTGTCCACGATAAAGCGTCAGTGTTGATTCTCTATGCTTTGACTTTGAATGCAGTGCGGTAAGTTGGTCATGAAGATCCTTGATGAAAAAGCGAAATTTAAACAAAATACCAGTGTCCTGTACTCGCAATGCTTTGTTCAGCATTCGATACAAGAAACATTCTCTTGTGTACCACCAAATTGCTTGATCCTTTTGATAGTTCTTGTCGTACTCATCATGCACTTCAGTTCTGCTTCATTGTGTTCATACTGCATTCGACATTCATCGATCATATCTTGTTTAGATGTATCATTGATGTCTACTTCAAAGAGAATTTCGATGAGCAGTTGAGAATACAATGAATGATGCTTCTTGTCTGTTGTTATTTGTGTTCGATGGTGACGACGGCATGACACTCATCGGTATCGTCGTATCATTCGAACAAGTACGAACATCTTTCCTCAAGGCTTCACAAATGTGTTTCATGTTCGTGTGGACACCATGAACCTTGGAAAAGTGGCTGGCCTA